CGTCCCCCACACCCGGCCGCCCACATGGCTAGCTTATGCTCCGAAATAACAACACACAAACTGTATTCTTTTAATCACTGCTTGGCCCATTCTCTTCTAGGCTAATTCTCACATATTAATTTAGCCCATTCCTAATCATCTGTGTGTAGCACCCCAAGGTGCGCTTACCGGGGAGATTCTAGCCTAGTCCATCCTGGGTCCGAGCTTCATCCTGGGAGCAGGGCATGGCGTCTCTCTCAGGCGTCTGCTCCCGCGAGGAAAGCGGTCGAGTCTCCGAGCTCACTTCCTCTTCCTCCCAGCATTTTGTTCTGTTTACTCCTCCCACCTATCCTCTAACCAATAAAATGGGCCAGGGCAGTGCCTTTATTAGCCAATGACCTTCCTCCATCACTCGGTGCTCAGTACTCAGTGCTTACGGATCGGGGCTCAGTGCTCGGTGCTCAGTACCCCAGGTGCTCGGTGCTCAGTAGCCCGGGTGCTCGGTACCCCTGGGTGCTCGGTGCTCGGTACCCCTGGGTGCTCGGTGCTCGGTACCCCGGGTGCTCGGTACCCCTGGGTGCTCAGTGCTCGGTACCCCCGGGTGCTCAGTGCTCGGTACCCCTGGGTGCTCGGTGCTCGGTACCCCTGGGTGCTCAGTGCTCAGTACCCCGGGTGCCCAGTGATAAGTAAATTAATAAATTAGCGATAAATCAATAAATCGGCGCCGGATCATTCATAAAATTCATAACAAATAATAAATTAACGAGCCGGCAACGAATGAGTCAATAACAAACGCGTCGCAAGAGAATTAATAAATTAACCAATAATAAATTAATCGATAATAAATTAATGAATAATAAATTAGTAAATAATAAATTAATAAATAATAAATTGATAAATAATAAATTGATAAATAATAACTTAATAAATAATAAATTAATAGATAATAAAATAATAATAACGGAGAATTAATAAATTAATAAATGATAAATTAATAAATACTAAATTAATAAATAATAAATTGATAGATAGTAAATTAATCAATAATAAATTAATAAATATTAAGTTATTAAATAATAAATTAATAAATAATAAATTAATAATAACGGGGAATTAATAAGTTAGTAAATAATAAATTAATAAATAATAAATTAATAATAACGGAGAATTAATAAGTTAGTAAATAATAAAATAATAAATAATTAATTAATGATAATGGAGTATTAATAAGTAATAAATTAATAGATAAGAAATTAATAAATAATAAATTAATAAATAATAAATTGTAAATAATGAATTAATCAATAATAAATTAATAAATAATAAATTAATAGATAATGAATTAATAAATGATGAATCAATAAATAATAAATTAATAATAACGGAGAATTAATAAATTGATAAGTAATAAATTAATAGATAATAAATTAATAAATAATAAATTAGTAAATAATAAATTAATAAAAATAATAAATTAGTGAATAATAAATTGGTAAATAATAAATTAATAAATACTAAATTGATGGATAATAAATCAATAAATAATAAGTTAATAAATAATAAGTTCGTAAATAATAAATTAATAAATAATAAATTAATAATAACGGAGAATTGATAAATTAATAAATAAACCGAAGTAAACTCGTAATGAGTAAATTGATGAATGAACGGTCGACGGAAACAAAAAAGCGAGCGAATCGGGGAAGAATTAATAATTAAAATAAAAAAAAAACAGGGATAAATTGACGATAAATCAAAATAAATTCGTAAGGAAATCAAACCAGTGACAAAGTAACGATGAACAAACTCATTAGTAAAATGATAACTGGTGATACATTAATAAATCGGGGATAAATTAATAACGAATAAAAAAATAAACCTGTATCGAGCAAACGAGCGGATGACGAAACAAGAACCGGGAGCGATGACGGCAAACTCCGCGACCCTCGGGTTTGTTTTCATTTTTATTTTCCGGCCAGGGGGGTCAGGGGTCAGGGGGGTCACGGGGGTCGGGGGGTCACGGGGGGGGTCCCGGGGGGGGGTCCCGGGGGGGTCAGGGGGTCACGGGGTCAGAGGTTGGGGCGCAACCCTCGGGTTTGTTTTCATTTTTATTTTCCGGCCAGGGGGGGTGAGGGGGTCACGGGGGGTCAGGGGAGGTCACAGGGGGGTCACGGGGGGGTCGGGGGGTCCCGGGGGGTCAGGGGGTCAGCGGTCAGAGGTCGGGGCGCGACCCTCGGGTTTATTTTTCCGGTCAGAGATCAGGGGTTCAGGGGTCATGGAAGTCAGGGGGGGGTCAGGGGGTTGTGGGGTTGTCGGGGGTTCAGGGGTCGGGGGTCGGGGGTCGCACCCCGCAGCCCCCAGCAGGCCCTGCAGCAAGTACCCGCCGGCCTTGTCCCTGCGGGTGGGGGGGGGGAGGGGGCGGGGCCTCGGCGTCGGGGACACGCCCACTTCCTGTCTCCTCCCCGGGGACACGCCCACTTCCTGTCTCCCCGGGGGGAGGGGACAATGGGCAGGGAGCGCAGGGCTTGGCGGCTTGTGTAGGAGTTTGGTGACCCCGTGTGTGTTGTTTTTTCCCTCCCTGGCCCCGCCCCCTGCTGATGTCACAGGCCCCGCCCCCGGTGACGATGTCACATGCCCCGCCCCCGCCCAGGCCCAGCCCCCACGCCCACATGGGCTCCCGCTGTCCACGTAGTGGCGCATCAGCTCCTCCTCCTCTGTCACCCGCGTCTCCTCGTGGAACGAGGTCACTTCCGGGTCGCCGTGAGAGGGGTGGTTGCGCTTCCGGGTCAGAGGGCGCGGGTCCCGCGGCTCACGCTGAAACCCCGATTCGCCCCGCCAGCACCCCGGAACCAAAGCGCCAGGCCCTCACCGGAAGAGGAACATCCGGCGGAAGCGGAACCGATGTGCACGGGCGCCCGCGTTGCTCCGTTATCATCGCGGGCGGCGGCGCGGCGAACCCGGAACGGACGGATTTTTTTCCGCGGGTCCGGACAGAACCGGACGTCCGGCCGCCGGTACTTTTTTTTCCGCGCGCCCAAAAGCGTTCCCCTCGTCTACGCGGAACTTTTATCGCAGGCCCGGAAGCGCAACAGCGTTCGTCGTCCGGGGCGGTCTCTTTTTCGCGAGTCTTTTGTTCCGCGGATCTTTTTTTTTTCGCACGTCCTGACGCGGAAGCGCGTCCCTCGGCCCGCGGAACTTTTCTCGCAAGCCCAAATTGCTTTTTCGCGAGTGCAGAAGCGCGTCCGTCGGCCAGCGGAACCTTTCTCGCGCGTCCCGCGGCTGGCGGAATTTCTTTCTCGCGCACCCGGAAGCGGAACAGAGTTCCTAGGCCGGCGGTACTTTTTTCGCGCGGCCGGAACCGCGGCGCTAACCGTGCGGAACTTTTCTCGCGCGCCCGGAGGTGGAACCGGGTCCCTCGGGCCCCGGAACTTTTCTCGCGCGCCGCAAACGGAGGCGCTGACCGTGCAAAACATATCTCGCGCGCCCGGAAGCGGAAGTGCTTCGCTCATCCTGCGTTCCTTTTCTCGCGCGCCTGGGACCCGCGGCACTGACCAAGCGGAACTTTTCTCGCACGCCCAGAGGCGGAACCGCTTCCCTCGGGCCCCGGAACTTTTCTCGCGCGCCGTAAACTGCGGAGCTGACCGGGCGGAACTTTTTTCGCGCGGCCGGATGCGGAAGTCCTTGGCTCATCCTGCGTTCCTTTTCTCGCGCTCCCAGCACCCGCGTCGCTGACCGGGCGGAACTTTTCTCGCGCGCCCGGAGGCGGAAGTCCTTGGCTCATCCTGCGTTCCTTTTCTCGCGCTCCCAGGACCCTCGGCGCTGACCGGGCGGAACTTTTCTCGCGCGCCCGGAGGCGGAAGTGCGTCACCGGGATCATCCGGGCGCCCGGCGGGCAGCGTCGGTTGCGGACGGAGCGGGCGGCCACAGCGGAGGCCTCGGGACGGGGACGGAGGCGGAAGCGGAGCCCGGGCCGGTGAGTGCGAACCCGGAAGTCGCCCGTCCGCCGCCCGGGGACCCGGATTGAACCGGTTCGGGGCGGATTCGGGCGGCGGACGAGGGGAGGGGGGAAAGGAGCGGGGCTGCGGGGGGCCGAGGAGCGGCGGGGGCGGGGTCTGGGTGAGGGGCGGGGCTGAAGCCGTTGGGGGCGGAGCTAGTCGGCAGGACGGGGGTGGGGATTGACCAGGACTCTGGGGAGGGCGGGGCTACAGGATGTGGGCGGGGCCAAAGAGCCTGGCTGAGAAGGGGGCGGGGCCAGAGGACAGGTAATGGAGTCGGGATTGGGCGAGGGGCGGCGCTTCTGTGTGGGCGTGGTTAGCGGGAAGGACAGGAAGGGGATTGGCTGGGGGTGCGGGGGCGTGGCCAGGGAGGGCGGAGTTAAAGGGCAGAAGGAGGGGGTGTTGGGGGCGTGGCCTGCATGAGGGGTTTATAGAGGGGAGGGCGGGGCCTCAGGGATGGGGGCGGAGCCAGTGGGCAGAAGGGGATTAGGATTGACAGGAATAGCCGGGGGCGGGGCTTAGCTGTTGGGGGCGGGGCTCCAGGGCAGGACTGGGACAGGGATTGGCAGGACTGTCAGAGTGGGCGGGGCTGAGACTTCAAGGCCAGGATGGTGGGGGCGTGGCCTCAGTGAGTTGTTGATTTAGGTGAGGGCGGGGCCTGAGCGATGGGGGCGGAGCCAGAGCGCAGGACGGGGACACGGATTGGTCAGGAGGATGTGGTGGGCGGAGCCAGAGGTCAGGACGGAGACACGGATTGGTCAGGATGATGTAGTGGGCGGAGCTCTCCTGTGTGGGCGGAGCCAGAGGTCAGGAGGGGACAGCGATTGTTCCTGATGACCTTGTGGGCGGAGCTCTCCTGTGGGGGCGGAGCCAGAGCACAGGACGGGGACACGCATTGGCCAGGAGGACGTGGTGGGCGGGGCTCACCCTTGGGGGGCGGAGCCAGAGGGCAGGACGTGGACATGGACTGGTCAGGATGATGTGGTGGGCGGAGCTAGAGGGCAGGGACACTGATGAGCGGGGCTCTCCTGTGGGGGCGGAGCCAGAGCACAGGACGGGGACACGCATTGGCCAGGAGGACTGGTGGGCGGGGCTCTCCTGTGGGGGCGGAGCCAGAGCGCAGGACGGGGACACGGATTAGTCAGGATGACGTGGTGGGCGGAGCTCCCCTGTGGGGGGCGGAGCCAGAGCACAGGACGGGGACCCGGATTGGCCAGGAGGACATGGTAGGCGGGGCTCTCCTGTGGGGGCGGAGCCAGAGCGCAGGACGGGGACACGGATTAGTCAGGATGACGTGGTGGGCAGAGCCAGATGACAGGACAGAGGCACGGATTGGTCCTGATGACGTGGTGGGCGGGGCTCTCCTGTGGGGGCGGGGCTAGAGGGCAGGGGTGGTTGCGGATTGTGAGGGCGGGGCTCACCCTTGGGGGCGGAGCCAGAGGGCAGGGCGGGGACCCGGATTGGTCAGGAAGACGTGGTGGGCGGAGCTAGAGGGCAGGGACACGGATGGGCCTGGAGGGCGGGGCTCTCCTGTGGGGGCGGAGCCAGAGGGCAGGACGGGGACCCAGATTGGCTGGGAGGACGTGGTGGGCGGAGCTCTCCTGTGGGGGCGGAGCCAGTGCGCAGGACGGGGACCCAAATTGGCTGGGAGGACGTGGTGGGTGGGGCTAGAAGACAGGGACACGGATGGGAGGGGCTCACCCTTGGGGGTGGAGCCATAGTGCAGGACAGAGACACGGATTGGTCGGGAGGACGTGGTGGGCGGAGCTTCAGGGCGGGGACGATCGGGCGGGGTGGGCGTGTCCCTCACCGGCCCCGCGCCCCCCTCTCCCCCGTCAGCCATGTCGGCGGCCACCATTGTGCATGACCCATCGGAGGCGGCGCCGCTGTGCCCGGCGCTCGGCCTCTACCTGAAGCCGATCACGAAGCTGGCGATCAGCGTGGCGCTGCCCGCGCGCCGTCCGCCGGGGAAGTCGATCTCCAACTGGGAGGTGATGGAGCGGCTCAAGGCCATGGTGGCGGGGGCGGGGCCCGACGACATCACCGCGGAAGGGGGCGGGGCCTCCACGGCGCCGGCCCCGCCGCCCCCGCGGGTGCCGCATGTGCAGTTCTCGTCGCTGCGCATCGCCAAGAGCACGCTGGACTTCATCCGCTTCGAGGGCGAGGTGGAGCAGCGGGCGCTGGTGCGGCCGTTCCTGGCGCGGCTGGACGGCCGAGGCCTCAAGCTCGCAGGGTTCCCGGACCCGCTCCGCGTCCGCGCCGCCGAGTTCCGCCCCGACGCCCCCTCCCGCCACGACTGGGACGCCTTCTTCCGCAACGCCACCGACATGAACGAGACCCGGCCCGGCGAGAGGCCCGACACCATCCACCTCGAGGGGCTGCCCTGCCGATGGTTCGCGCCCCGCGCCGGCGGCCATGGCGGCGAAGCCACTTCCGCCAGGAGTGAAGCCACTTCCGCCACCACTTCCGCCAGTACTTCGTCCACTTCCGCCAGGAGTGAAGCCACTTCCGCCAGGAGTGAAGCCACTTCCGCCAGCACTTCCGCGAGCACTTCGTCCACTTCCGCCAGCGCTCCGTTTTCCGTGTCCGCCGGGTCGGAGCGCCCGAGCGAGGCGGTGCTGCGCCAGGCGTTCTCGGCGTTCGGGGAGATCCAGCAGGTGGACATCCCGATGCTGGACCCGTACCGCGAGGAGATGGCGGCGGTCGGCGGGGTCGGCGGAGGCCTCGGCGTGGGCGGCGGCCTCGGAGGCGTGGGCGGCGGCGGCGGCGGCCGCGGCGGGTTCCACACGTTCGGCTGGGGCGGCGGGCTTCACTTCGAGGCCTACGTGCAGTACCGCGAGTACGCGGGGTTCGTGCGCGCCATGGCGGCGCTGCGGGGCGCGAAGCTCATGTACAAGGGCAAGGACGGCAAGGCGGTGGCGTGCGGCATCAAGGTAGGGGGCGGGGCCGCGGGGGGGGCGGGGCTCGTGGGCGGGTCCGTGTGGGCGGGGCGTGGGGCTTGGGTGCGAGGTGATGGGAGTAGGACTCGGGTTCGAGGTGGTGTCATCGGGGCGTGGGGCTCGGGTTCAAGGAGGCGACGGGACGGTGGGCGGGGTTTCCGGGCGCCGAGGTCACACCCCCACCCCCCCCCGGCCCCGCCCCCAGGTCTCGTTCGACGCCACCAAGCACCTGAGCGAGGCCTCGATCCGGCGGCAGCTGGAGCAGCAGAAGCTGCTGGAGCTGGAGCTGCAGCGCGAGGAGCAGAAGCGGCGGGAGCGCGAGGCGGAGGAGCGGCGGCGGGAGGAGGAGCAGTGAGCGCGGGGGCGGGGCTTCGGGGGCGGGGCGTGGCTGTGCGGTGGCTTCCTGTCCCTCCTGGACTCACTTCCTGTCCCTCCTGTGCCCACTTCCTGTCCCTCCTGTGCCCACTTCCTGTCCCTCCTGGACCCAATTCCTGTCCATCTGGGACCCACTTCCTGTCCCCCCAAGACCAACTTCCTGTCCCTCCGGGATCCACTTCCTCTCCATTCGGGACACACTTCCTGTCCCTCCTGGACCCACTTCCTGTCCCTCCTGTGCCCACTTCCTGTCCCTCCTGTGCCTACTTCCTGTCCCTCCTGGGCCACTTCCTGTCCATCCGGGACCCACTTCTTGTCCATCAGGAACCCACTTCCTGTCCCTCCTGGACCCACTTCCTGTCCCTCCTGTGCCCACTTCCTGTCCCTCCTGGACCACTTCCTGTCCCTCCTGGACCCACTTCCTGTCCCTCCGGGATCTACTTCCTGTCCCTCCGGGACCCACTTCCTGTCCCTCCTGTGCCCACTTCCTGTCCCTCCTGGACCACTTCCTGTCCCTCCTGTGCCCACTTCCTGTCCCTCCTGGACCCACTTCCTGTCCCTCCTGTGACCACCTCCTGTCCCTCCGGGACCCACTTCCTGTCCATCAGGAACGCACTTCCTGTCCCTCCTGTGCCCACTTCCTGTCCCTCCTGTGCCCACTTCCTGTCCCTCCTGGACCCACTTCCTGTTCCTCCTGGACCACTTCCTGTCCCTCCTGTGCCCACTTCCTGTCACTCCTGGACCACTTCCTGTCCCTCCTGTGCCCACTTCCTGTCCCTCCTGGACCCACTTCCTGTCCCTCCTGCGCCCACTTCCTGTCCCTCCTGGACCACTTCCTGTCCTTCCTGCGCCCACTTCCTGTCCCTCCTGCGCCCACTTCCTGTCCCTCCTGTGCCCACTTCCTGTCCCTCCTGCACCCACTTCCTGTCCATCCGAGACCCACTTCCTGTCCATCCTGAGCCCACTTCCTGTCCCTCCTGCACCCACTTCCTGTCCCTCCTGGACCCACTTCCTGTCCCTCCAGTACCCACTTCCTGTCCCTCCTGTGCCCACTTCCTGTCCCTCCTGTGCCCACTTCCTGTCCCTCCAGGACCCACTTCCTGTCCCTCCTGGACCCACTTCCTGTCCCTCCAGTACCCACTTCCTATCCCTCCTGTGCCCACTTCCTGTCGCCTTGCTTCTGGCCATGATGTGCAAATCCCGGCATGCAAATGAGGTCATGAATATGCAGATCCCGGCATGCAAATGAGGTCATGAACACGCAAATCCCGGTATGCAAATGGGGTCATGAGCATGCAAATCCCGGCATGCAAATGAGGTCCTGGCTGCTCATTAATATGAAAATTGTAGTATGTAAATCGCCCCCGTGGCGCGCATATGCAAACGAGGCGCTCCTGTGCATGCGGCTCGTAGTATGCAAATGGCCCGTGCTTCATGAATTTGCAAATCCCGGTATGCAGATGAGGTCCTGAATACTCATGCATATGCAGATCATAGTATGTAAATCGCCCCCCCTCCCCGTGGCGTGCACATGCAAACGAGGCTTTGGTCATGAATATGCAAATCACGGCACGCAAAGGATGCCCCGCCCCGTGAATATACAAATTGGCCACCCCAGTCCCCGCCCCCGATGACCTCACCCGCTCTGCATGACCCCTCAGAGCACTCTGGGAAATGTAGTCCACGTGGCCCAGAGACCCCACCCCTCACCCCAGGCCCCGCCCCTCATCCCACGCCCTGCCCCTGATGAGCTCACCTGCTCCCCACGACCCCGTCTGGCCCCGGAGAGCATTCTGGGAAATGTAGTCCATGGGGCCCGGAGTCCCCGCCCCTCGCCCCAGGCCCCGCCCCTGATGACCTCACCTGCTCCCCATGACCCCGTCTGACCCCGGAGAGCATTCTGGGAAATGTAGTCCATGGGGCCCGGAGTCCCCGCCCCTCACCCCAGGCCCCGCCCCTCACCCCACGCCCTGCCCCTGGTGACCTCACACGCTCCCCACGACCCCGTCTGACCCCGCAGAGCACTCTGGGAAATGTAGTCCACAGGGCCCAGTCACCCAGGCCCCGCTCCTCACCCCAGGCCCCGCCCATCACCCCATGGCCCCTCCACCGATGACCTCACCGTCACCCTGTATGACCCCCAGAGGACTCTGGGAAATGTAGTCCAGAGGCCCCGCCCCTCTCCCCAGGCCCCGCCCCTCACCCCCAGGCCCCGCCACCGATGACCTCACCGTCACCCTGTATGACCCCCAGAGCACTCTGGGAAATGTAGTCCAGTCGCCTCGCCCCTCACCCCCTCCCCACGACCCCGTGTGACCCCGCAGAGCATTCTGGGAAATGTAGTCCATGGGGCCCCGCCCCCGATGACCTCACCCCTCACTCCAGGCCCCGCCCCTCACCCAGGCCCCGCCCCCGATGACCTCACCGTCACCCCACATGACCCCGCAGAGCATTCTGGGAAATGTAGTCCATGGGGCCCCGCCCCCGATGACCTCACTCCAGGCCCCGCCCCCAATGACCTCACCTACTCCCCACGACCCCGTGTGACCCCGCAGAGCACTCTGGGAAATGTAGTCCACGGGGCCCTGAGGCCCCGCCCCTCTCCCCGGGCCCCGCCCCTGATGACCTCACCCGCTCCGCATGACCCCGTGTGACCCTTCAGAGCATTCTGGGAAATGGAGTCCATGGGGCCCTGCCCCGATGACCTCACCCCTCACTCCAGGCCCCGCCCCCAATGACCTCACCGTCACCCCGCATGACCCTGCAGAGAATTCTGGGAAATGTAGTCCACGGGGCCCAGAGACCCCGCCCCTCACCCCCAGGCCCCGCCCCTGATGACCTCACTCGCTCAGCCTGACCCCTGTATGACCCCGCAATGCACTCTGGGAAATGGAGTCCACAGGGCCTTGAGGCCCCGCCCCTCACCCCAAGGCCCCGCCCCCGATGACCTCACCGTCACCCTGTATGACCCCCAGAGCACTTTGGGAAATGTAGTCCAGAAGCCCCACCCCTCACCCCAGGCCCCGCCCCTCACCCAGGCCCCGCCCCCGATGGCCTCACCGTCACCCTGTATGACCCCGCAGAGCACTCTGGGAAATGTAGTCCAGAGGCCCCGCCCCTCTCCCCAGGCCCCGCCCCCCCGATGACCTCACCCCGCCCCGCCCCCCACAGGAAGCAGAAGCAGCTGGAGCAGCAGCAGCGCGCGTGCCGCCGGGAGGAGAAGCTGCGCCGCCGGGAGCAGCGGGAGCGGGAACAGCGCCACAGCCGCCGCCGGGCGGAGAAGCAGCAGGCGGAGGAGCAGCGGCGCCTGCAGGAGAAGATCCGCACGGAGGAGCGGAAGCTGCTGCTCGCCCAGCGCAACCTGCAGTCGATCCGGCTGGTGGCCGAGCTGCTGGGCCGCGTGGAGGTGCGTATGCAGGCGGTGTCGCACGTGGGCGCGTGTGTATGCAGGCGGTGTCGCACGTGTGCGCGGTGTGTATGCATGCGGTGTCGCACGTGTGCGCGATGTGTGTGTATGCAGGCGGTGTCGCGCGTGTGCGCGGTGTGTATGCAGGCGGGATTGCACGTGTGCATGTATACATGTGGGAGGTGTGTATACACGCGGTGTTGCACGTGCGCGGTGTGTATGCAGGCGGGGTTGCACGTGTGCGCGGTGTGCGTGTATACATGCGGTGTCGCACGTGTGCGCGGTGTGTATGTGTGTATGCACGTGGTGTCGCACGTGTGCGCGGTGTATGTGTGTATGCACGTGGTGTCGCACGTGTGCGCGGTGTGTGAGACGTCTGTGTATACACGCGGCGTCCCACGTGTGCGCCGTGTCTGCGTATGCATTTGCTGTCGCACGTGTGCGCGGTGGGTGTGTATACATGTGGTGTCGCATGTGTGCGGGGTGTGTGTATGCATGTGGTGTCGCACGTGTGCGCGGTGTGTGTGTGTGTATGCATGTGGTGTCGCACGTGTGCGCGGTGGGTGTGTGTGTATGCACGTGGTGTCGCACGTGTGCGCGGTGTGTGTCTGCGTATGCATTTGGTGTCGCACGTGTGCACGGTGTGTGTGTGTATACACGTGGTGTTGCACGTGTGCGCGGTGTGTGTGTATACACGCGGTGTCGCACGTGTGCACTCCCAGCACTCTGGGACACCACGGAGTCCGCAGGACCCTGAGGCCCCGCCCCTCGCCCCAGGCCCCGCCCCCGACGACCCCACCCCGCTCCCCCCCGCCCCCATGCGACCCCCGCAGTGCACTCTGGGAAATGTAGTCCACCGCAGCCCCGAGGCCCCACCCCCACCCCCGCGGCCGCGTACACCCTCAGCGTCCCGCGTGCGCGCAAGTCCCGGGTCCCGAGTGCGAGTCTCCCCCCCCCCCCCCCCCGCAGGCCGCGAAGCTGCAGCAGCGCCGCCAGCACCGCGCGCGCCAGGAGGAGCAGGAGCGGCGCCGCCTGCAGGAGGCCGAGCTGCGCCGCGTGGAGGAGGAGAAGGCGCGGGCGCTGGGGCTGCAGCGGCGGGAGCGCGAGCTGAGGCGGCGCCTGCTCTCCCTGCTGCTCGGACAGCGCCCGGCCGCCGGCGACTCGAACCCGGGACCCGGCGCCAACGACGCCGCCTCCTCGAATCCAGAACCCGGCGCCAACGACGCCCTCCTGCGGCCCGTGCTCGACATCCTGCACCGCGTGACCCACGCGCGGGCGCCCCCACCACCCCCGACGCCGCCGTTGCCGCCGCAGGACTCGAACCCCGAACCCGCGGCGGCAGCGGCGGCGCAGGACTCGAACCCCGAACCCAAGATGGCGCCCGAGAACGCGACGCCTAAGCCAGGCGCGGACGCCGCGTCGACCCCGACAACCCCGACCCGCGACCGCGGCGGCGGCGAGCACGACAAGGGCGACCACCGGGGGCCCGAGTGCGAGGAGTCGCGCGGCGGCCATCGCCGTCGTCGCGGTCGGCGCCGCCGGAGCAGCCACAGCCACGGGCACGGCCGCCGTTCTCGGTCCCGGTCCCGGTCGCCGCGGTGACCGCGGAGGCGCGGGGCGTGGACCCGGTGAGGACTGACGGATGGACGGACGGCCCCGGGGCATGCTGGGAACAGGGTCCGAGTGCGAGGTTTTTTTTTTTTTTTTTTTTGTTTCCGCCCCGGGTGCGAATTCGAATCCCTGGGAAGATGGCCGCCCCCATTCCCCCCCCACCAGGTCGTTTGAGATTTTTTTTTTTTCCCGCCCCGGGTGCGAATTCGAATCCTCCGTGACCACGCGGACTCCGCCTGGGTTCAATAAAGTCGTTGCCCCCCCTGCGCCCGGCGTCTGCGGTGTGGTCTCTGGGCGGGGTGCTGGGTGATCTGGGTGCTGGGTGATCCGGGTGCTGGGTAATCTGGGTGCTGGGTGCTAGGTTATCCTGGTGCTGGGTGACCCGGGTGCTGCGCTCAGTCCCCCCCCCACGCCCGGCCGTCACCGGCTCCAGCTGGCTCATCCCAGATTGACCTAGTTCCCAGCACCCGGCTGGCAGAGGAGCCGGGTGCTGGGTGCTAGGTGACCTCAGTGCTGGGTGCTGAGTCGTCTGGGTGCCAGGTAAAGACGGTGCTGGGTGATCCGGGTGCTGGGTGATCTGGGTGCTGGGTGATCTGGGTGATCTGGGTGCTGGGTGATCTGGGTGCTGGGTGATCCGGGTGCTGGGTGATCCGGGTGCTGGGTGATATGGGTGCTGGGTGATCCGGGTGCTGGGTGATCCGGGTGCTGGGTGATCCGGGTGCTGGGTGATCCGGGTGCTGGGTGATCCGGGTGCTGGGTGACCCGGGTGCTGGGTGATCCGGGTGCTGGGTGATCCGGGTGCTGGGTGATCCGGGTGCTGGGTGATCTGGGTGCTGGGTGATCCGGGTGCTGGGTCATCTGGGTGCTGGGTGATCCGGGTGCTGGGTGCTGGGTGATCCGGGTGCTGGGTGATCCGGGTGCTGGGTGATCTGGGTGCTGAGTCCTGGGTGCTGGGTGCTGAGTCCTGGGTGCTGGGTGATCTGGGTGCTGGGTGCTAGGTCGTTTGGGTGCTGGGTGATCTGGGTGCTGGGTGCTAGGTCATCCGGGTGCTGGGTGCTAGGTCATCCCGTGGCTGGGTTATTCGTGTGCTGGGTGACCCAGGTGCTGCGCTCAGTCCCCCCGGGTGCTGCGCTCAGTCTCCCCCCCCCCCCCCGCCCATCCCAGATCAACCTAGTTCCCAGCACCCGGGGCAGAAGATGGCCGAAGAGCCGGGTGCTGGGTGCTAGGTGACCCGGGTGCTGCGCTCAGTCCCCCCGGGTGCTGCGCTCAGTCCCCCCCGCCCGTCCCAGATCGACCTAGTTCCCAGCACCTGGGTGCTGCGCTGAGTCCCCCCGGGTGCTGCGCTCAGTCCCCCCCATCCCAGATTAACCTAGTTCCCAGCACCCGGGTGCTGCGCTCAGTCCCCCCGGGTGCTGCGCTCAGTCCCCCCCCCGCCCATCCCAGATCGACCTAGCACCCAGCACCCGGGGCCGACGATGGCCGAGGCCGCGGACGGGGACCCCGAGGACGGGGATTTCCGCCTCCTCATGGACTACGCGCACGGCTTCATGGTCTCGCAGGTGGGTGCTGCGCTCAGTCCTCCCCGGGGTGCTGCGCTGAGTCCCTGGCCGCTGTGCCCTGGGCTGCCTTTCCCTGGGTGCTATACTTGGTCCTTCTCTGGGTGCTGCGCTGAGTCTCCCTCCTGGGCCGTCCTAACTCCCTTAAGAGTCAGGTGCTGGGTGCTGAGTTCCCCCGGGTGCTGCGCTCAGTCCTCCCCGGGGTGCTGCTCTGAGTCCCTGGAGACAAAGGTGCTGGGTGCTGAGTCCCCCAGGGTGCTGGGTGCTGAGTCCCCCCCTGGGTGCTGTGTTCAGTCCCATTGGGTGTTGGACTAAGTCACCCCAGGTGCTGCACCGAGTCCGCTGAGACGAAGGTGCTGGGTGCTGAGTCCACCCATGTGCTGCACTCCGTGTCCCTGGCTGCTGGGTGCTGGGTCCTCCATCCGGGTGCTGCGCTCAGTCCCCCTGGGTGCTGCGCTCAGTCCCCCCGGGTGCTGCGCTCAGTCCCCCCCGGGTGCTGCGCTGAGTCCCCCCAGGGTGCTGTGCTCAGTCCCTCCCGGGTACTGCGCTCCGTCCCCCCCAGGTGCTGCGCTCAGTACCCCCCCCCCCGGGTGCTGCGCTCAGTCCCCCCGGGTGCTGCGCTCAGTCCCTCCGGGTGCTGTGCTCAGTCCCCCCGGGTGCTGCGCTGAGTCCCCCCACCCCCCCCCAGGTCCTGTTCACGGCCTCCGACCTTGGCCTGTTCGAGGCCCTGGCCGCGGGGCCCCTCGAAACCGCCGCGGTTGCCCGGGCCCTGGGTTCGAGTCCTCGGGGGACGCGGCGGCTGCTGGACGCCTGCGCCGGGCTGGGGCTCCTGAGCGCGGAGGACGGCGGGGGCGGAGGAGGTGATGACGTCACAGGGGGCGGGGCCTGGGGGTCGTGGGGGCGGGGCCTGGGGTCGCGGGGGCGGGGCCTGGGGTCACGGGGGCGGGGCCTGGGGTGGTGATGTCACTGGGGGCGGGGCCTGGGGGTCACGGGGGCGGGGCCTGGAAGGAGGTGATGACATCACTGGGGGGCGGGGCCTGGGAGAAGGCGGAACCTGGAAGGAGGTGATGATGATGTCACCGGGGGCGGGGCCTGGAGGTCATAGGGGCGGAGCCTGGGAGGAGGCGGCGACGTCGTGGGGGCGGGGCCTTTAGGTGATGTCATCATGGGGGCGGGGCCCAGGAGGAGGGGATGATGTCACGGGGGCGGGGCTGGGCGACGATGACATCATAGGGGAGGGGAACGGGGGCGGGGCGAGGGGAAGACGACGTCATCCCACTCCAGGCCCCGCCCACCCGATGACGTCGCCCTCCACCCGGCCCCACCCCTTCTCGCGGGCCCCGCCCCCGATGACATCATCGCCCCGGCCCCTCCCCCTCTCCCCGCAGGCCCCGCCTTCTCCCTCACGCCTCTCTCGCGCCGGTTCCTGCTGGCGGGCAGCCCCCTGTCTCAGCGCGCGATGCTGCGCTACCTGGCAGGGACGACGGCGCGGTGCTGGGGCCAGCTGGGCGGGGCCGTGCGGTAGGGGCGGGGCCTGGGGTGGGAGGGGCCTGGAGGGGGCGGGGCCTGAGGTGGGCAGGGCCGTGCGGTAGGGGCGGGGCCTGGGGTGGGCGGGGCTGTGTAGTAGGGGCGGGGCCTGGGGTGGGCGGGGCCGTGCAGTAGAAGCAGGACCGGGGTGGGCGGGGCCTGCTGGAATGGGTGGGGCCAGTGGGACGGGGCGGGGCCTGGGGTGGGCGGGGCATCGGGTGGGCGGGGCCTCAACATGGGCGGGGGCATCGGGGTGGGTGGGCCTGGGATATGCGGGGCCATGTGAAAGGGGCGGGGCCTGGGATGTGGGGGGGGGGGCCCAAGCAGGGCGGAGTCTGCGGGAGGGGGGGCTTACAATGGGAGGGGCTGTCTGGGAGGGGCGGGCCTGGGGTGGGCGGGGCCTACAGGAGGGGTGGGGTCTACGGTGGGCGGGGCCTGGGTGGGGCGGGGCCTTCGATAGGGGGTGTGGCCTCGGGTGGTGGGCGGGGCCTTGGGGGGCGGGGCCTGCGTGTCCGTCTGTGAGCCGAGTGCTGATTTCTCCCATCATCCTCTGGGGGCCCCGGCCGGCCCCGCCCACAGGGAGGGGCGGAGCCAGTACGCACGCGCGGTGGGCGTGGCCACGCGGGAGCCGTTCGAGGCCATTTACAGGTGACGACGCCTGTCAATCACCTCCGAGGCCCCGCCCTCCTCCCTCCTGTCCATCACCTCCGAGGCCCCGCCCTCCTCCCACTTCCTGTCCGTCACCTCCGTGGCCCCGCCCCTCACCCCAGGCCCCGCCCCTCACCCCAGGAGGCCCCGCCCCTCACCCCAGGAGGCCCCGCCCCTCGCCCCAGGAGGCCCCGCCCCTCACCCGAGGCCACGCCCCTCGCCCCAGGCCCCGCCCTCACCCCAGGCCCCGCCCCCAGGTCCCGCGCCGAGCGCCTGCTCTTCATGCGTGCCCTGCAGGACACCTGGAGCGTCTACGGCGCCCGGGTGCTCACGGCCTTTGACCTCTCGGAGTTCAGGGTCATCTGTGACGTCGGCGGTGAGGCCCGGCCCCCGGGGTGCTGCGCTGAGTCCTCCCCTCTCCCCTGGGTGCTGCGCGGAGTCCTCCCCTCTGCCCTGGGTGCTGCGCTGAGTCCTCCTCTCTCTCCTGGGTGCTGCGCTGAGTATTCCCCTCCCCCCGGGTGCTGCGCTGAGTCCTCCCCTCCCCCCGATGCTGCGCTGAGTCCCCCCGTCCCCCAGGCGGCTCCGGAGCCCTGGCCACAGCCTGTGCCCGCCTCCACCCCGCCAGCTCCGTGTCTGTGTTCGACACCCGCGACGTCGTCGCCGCCGCCCGCGCCCACTTCCGGCGCCCACGGGGGGACCCGCCCGTCCGCTTCCTGGGAGGTGGGCGAGGGGCGGGGCCTGGGGCGGGGCACGTCCTGTTTCCTGTCCGGGCACTTCCTGTTTCCTGTCCGGGCACTTCCTGTGTCCTGTCTGGGCACTTCCTGTGTTTTCTCCGGGCACTTCCTGTGTCCTGCCCGGGCACTTCCTGTTTCCTGTCCGGGCACTTCCTGTTTCCTATGTTTCCTCTTCGGGCACTTCCTGTTTTTTGTCTGGGCACTTCCTGTGTCCTGTCCGGGCACTTCCTGTGTCCTGTCCAGGCACTTCCTGTGTCCTGTCCGGGCACTTCCTGTTTCCTGTGCGGGCACTTCCTGTGTCCTGTCCGGGCACTTCCTGTGTCCTGCAGGGCACTTCCTGTGTCCTGCAGGGCACTTCCTGTGTCCTGTCTGGGCACTTCCTGTGTCCTGTCTGGGCACTTCCTGTGTCCTCTCCGGGCACTTCCTGTGTCCTGCCCGGGCACTTCCTGTTTCCTGTCCGGGCACTTCCTGTTTCCTATGTTTCCTCTTCGGGCACTTCCTGTTTTTTGTCTGGGCACTTCCTGTGTCCTGTCCGGGCACTTCCTGTTTCCTGCACGGGCGCTTCCTGTGTCCAGTCTGGGCGCTTCCTGCGTCCTGTGCGGGCACTTCCTGTGTCCTGTCCGGGCACTTCCTGTGTCCTGTCCGGGCACTTCCTGTGTCCTGTCCGGGCACTTCCTGTTTCCTGCACGGGCGCTTCCTGTTTCCAGTCTGGGCGCTTCCTGCGTCCTGTGCGGGCACTTCCTGCGTCCTGTCCGGGCACTTCCTGTGTCCTGTCCGGGCACTTCCTGTGTCCTGTCTGGGCACTTCCTGTTTCCTGCACGGGCGCTTCCTGTGTCCAGTCTGGGCGCTTCCTGTGTCCTGTGCGGGCACATCCTGTGTCCTGTCCGGGCGCTTCCAGGTCCCAACCCCGGGCACTTCCTGTGTCCTGTCCGGGCACTTCCTGTGTCCTGTGCGGGCACTTCCTGTGTCCTGTCCGGGCACTTCCTGTGTCCTGTGTCCGGGCACTTCCTGTTTCCTGTCCGGGCACTTCCTGTATCGGGTGGGCGGGCCCCCGCCCCGCCCGCCTGTCCATCACGCATCGGGGGATGGGATTTCTCCGCCCCATCACCCCCGTGACCCCGGAGGCCCCGCCCCCTGACCCCCTGACCCCTTGACCCCCAGGCGACTTCTTCCGGTCCCCGCTCCCGCGCGCCGACCTCTACATCCTGGCCCGGGTCCTGCACGACTGGACGGACGCAGACGCCGCGCGGCTGCTGGGGAGGATCGGGCGCGCGGGCGGACCGGGTCAGCAGCGGCGGGCGGGGGCCGGTCGGGGGTCGCAGGGGTCGCGGGGGGGGTCGCGGGGGTCACGGACGTCGGCCGGAGGTCACGGGGGTCACCCAGGAGGAACCGAGTTCAAACAGGGGTCATGGAACCCGTGGGGTCATGGAGGGGGTCGCAGAGGTCACCCGGGGGTCACGGAGATCGAGGCGTCGCAGAGGTCACACAGAGGTCACCCAGGGGTCACGGGAGTCACAGAGGTCGCCCAGAGGTCACACAGAGGTCATGGGTACACAGGGTCACAGGGGGCACAGAGGTCACCCATGGGTCACCCAGAGGTCACCCAGGGATTAAGGGGGGTCACAGGGGTCACCCAGAGGTCACGGGGTCACCACGGGCGTCCCCCCGTCACCCCCCAGACTCCGCCGTCCTCCTGGTCGAGGCCGTGCTGACCCCCGGGGGCCGCGGCCCGGCGCGCGCGCTGCTCCTGTCGCTGACGATGCTGCTGCAGACGCGCGGCCGCGAGCGCACGGAGGCCGAGTTCTGCGCCATGGCCGCCGCCGCCGGCTTCGCCCGCTTCCAGCGCCACCCGACCGGGGGCGACCTCGAGGTCATGCTGGCCAGGAAGTGAGGTCATCGGGGCGGGGAGGGCGGGTCGGGGCGAATAAAGCGACTTCCTGTGTGAGAGAGGCCCATTTCCCGTCTCTCCGCAACCCACTTCCTGTCCCTCTGGGATCCACTTCCTGTCCCTCCTGTGCCCACTTCCTGTCCCTCCTGGACCCACTTCCTGTCCCTCCTGGACCCACTTCCTGTCACTCCTGGACCCACTTCCTGTCCCTCCTGTGCCCACTTCCTGTCCCTCCTGTGCCCACTTCCTGTCCCTCCGGGATCCACTTCCTGTCCCTCCTGTGCCCACTTCCTGTCCCTCCTGTGCCCACTTCCTGTCCCTCCTGTGACCACTTCCTGTCCCTCCTGGACCCACTTCCTGTCCCTCAAGTGACCACTTCCTGTCCCTCCTGGACCCACTTCCTGTCCCTCCTGGACCCACTTCCTGTCCCTTCTGTTCCCACTTCCTGTCCCTCCTGTGCCCACTTCCTGTCCCTCCTGCACCCACTTCCTGTCCCTCCTGAACCCACTTCCTGTCCATAACCAGCTTCCTGTCCCTCCGGGACCCACTTCCTGTCCCTCCTGGACCCACTTCCTGTCCCTCCAAGACCAACTTCCTGTCCCTCCAAGACCAACTTCCTGTCCCTCCTGGACCTACTTCCTGTCCCTCCTGTGCCCACTTCCTGTCCCTCCTGGACCCACTTCCTGTCCATCTGGGACCACTTCCTGTCCCTCCTATGCCCACTTCCTGTCTCTCTGGGACCCACTTCCTGTCCCTCCTGTGCCCACTTTCTGTCCCTCCGGGACCCACTTCCTGTCCCTCCTGTGCCCACTTCCTGTCCCTCCTGGACCCACTTCCTGTCCCTTCTGTGACCACTTCCTGTCCCTCCTGGACCCACTTCCTGTCCCTCCTGTGCCCACTTCCTGTCCCTCCTGTGCCCACTTCCTGTCTCTCTGGGACCCACTTCCTGTCCCTCCGGGACCCACTTCCTGTCCCTCCTGTGCCCACTTCCTGTCTCTCTGGGACCCACTTCCTGTCCCTCCGGGACCCACTTCCTGTCCCTCCTGTGCCCACTTCCTGTCTCTCGGGGACCCACTTCCTGTCCCTCCGGGACCCACTTCCTGTCCCTCCGGGACCCACTTCCTGTCTCTCCTGGACCCACTTCCTGTCCCTCCTGTGCCCACTTCTTGTCCCTCCAATACCAACTTCCTGTCCATCTGGGACCCACTTCCTGTCGCCACCGCACGGCCCTCTGGGAAACGGAGTCCCATGGCTGGCGTGTGATGGTCCCGCCCCCCGACAGGAAGTGGGTGTCCTCCCGCCCCCCCCACAGGCAGGAAGTGCACAGGATGACCCCGCCCACCACCTGCCAATCACGTGACACCCGACCTGGGCGGACCCCAGTTCCGATGATTGACAGCGGGGGGCAGCGGGGGCGGGCCCGACCCGAGAGTGACGTCATCGGGAGGCGGGGCCACCCCCCCTCCGCTGCTGATTGACAGCCACACACACCAACCAGGCTCAAAAATACCTTTTCCTTTATTGGCGGGCGATGTCCCTCCGCGAGCAGCGGCGACGTCACTTCCTGTGACGTCGTAAGCGGGGGATCAAGGGTCGGGGGTGGGGGGGGTGGGGGGGGCGGGGCGATCTCTCTACATGGTAGAAAATGGCGTCACGTGACGGATGGCGGCGTCCGGCGGGGGCGGGGCCTACGCAAGATGTGGTCACGTGGGGAGGGGGGGAGGAGGCACGCGGCGCGAGATGGCTGGAGGCGGTGGTGATGTCATCGGGCGGTGATGTCATCATTCGGGCGGCGACGTCATCATTTGGGCGGCGTGATGTCGTCGGGCGGTGTGATGTCATCGGGCGGTGATGTCATCATTCTGGCGGCGACATCATCGTTCGGGCGGGTGACGTCATCATTCGGGCGGTGTGATGTCATCGGGCGGTGATGTCATCGGGCGGTGATGTCATCGGGCGGCGATGTCATCGTTCTGGCGGCGACATCATCATTTGGGCGGCGTGATGTCGTCGGGCGGTGTGATGTCATCGGGCGGCGACGTCATTGGGCGGTGATGTCATCATTCGGGCGGCGACGTCATCGGGTGGTGATGTCATCGGGCGGCGACGTCATCGGAAACCCGGGGGCCGAGGGCGTCCATGGCGGGGGGGTGTGGCCTGCTGGGAGAGAGGGGGCGGGGCCTAGTCAGGGTGGGCGGGGATATGCAAATGAGCCGGGCAAGGGGGAAATAAGCAAAAAGTGAAAATCCATCAAGCAATGAAATTCATGCAAATGTATGCAGATTTATGCAAATTCGCACGCATCTACGCAGATTTATGCAAATTGATGCGGGTCCGAGCGCAGATAGACCCCACCCGGTGGGGGGGCCGCCCCCAAATATTTAAATCCGCATGCAAATGAGCCACCGAAATTTTAAATTTCCGAATTAAATATGTTTCAGTGCGGTCTCTCCAGAGTCCAAGGTCAGAGGTCGAGGCCGCTGAGGTCACTTCCTGTCCCCCGAGGACTCCGCCCCCTCCCCTGGGGTCACAGGGTCATGAGAGGTCAAGACGAGGACAGAGAGTCTCGGGTGGGTCAGGCAGGGGTCACAGGGAGGTCAGGGGGAGGTCAGGGCATCAGGCAGGAGTCACGGGGAGGTCGGGGGTCAGGGAGGGGTCACGGGGAGGTCAGGGGGAGGTCGGGGGTCAGGCAGGGGTCATGGGGAGGTCAGGGGGTCACGGGGGAAGGGTCAGGGGTCACGTCTTTTTTTTTTTTTTTTTACCATCGCGAAGTCAACCAACCAACGCGGCGGATCTTTTTTTTTTTTTTCCATCCTCACCCGCGGGTGACGTCACGGGGGCGCGCGGGGATCCGGGGGGCGGGGCGTGACGTCACGGGGGCGGGGCGCGGGGGTCAGAGGCCGTGGTCGCAGTCGACGTCGCGGCAGATGTACCAGAGGATGACGTAGAGGATGAGGAGGATGGCGAAGATGAAGAGCGCGACCAGCAGCGCCTTGGTCACGGGCGACACCAGCGACTGCATCGTGACGTCACCCCGGCGCGACCCCTCCCCCGTGACGCCGGCGGCGGAGGCGGGACTTCCGGTCCCCCGCGCGCCTTCCGGCCACCGCGCCGCACCGGAAAACCGGAGAACTACAAAGATGGCGGAACGGGCGCCTCAGAGCCCAGGGAAAGGGCACTTCCGGTCGACCCTAAGCACTTCCGGTCCCAGCCGCCGAGCCTCCTGGGAATTGTAGTTTCCGGGATCAGACACAGAGGCTTAGAGCCCAGGGAAAGGGCACTGCCTGTGCCTGCGCCGAGCACTTCCGTTCCCAGCCGCCGATCCTCCTGGGAATTGTAGTTTCGGCGACCCAAAACGGACCCTCGGAGCTAAAAAAAAAAAACCCACTTCCGGTGCAATTTTGAGCACTTCCGGTCCCGGCCGCCGAGCACCATGGGAAATGTAGTTTCCCAGACCCTTAACGGAGTCTCAGCGCATAGGGCAAGGCACTTCCTGTGCCTGTGCCGAGCACTTCCGGTCCCAGCCGCCGAGCCTCCTGGGAAATGTAGTTTCCCGGACCCGAAACGGACCCTCGGAGCTAAAAAAAAAAAACCACTTCCGGTGCAATTTTGAGCACTTCCGGTCCCGGCCGCCGACCACCATGGGAAATGTAGTTTCCCGGACCCGATACGGAGGCTTAGAGCCCAGGGAAAACCACTTCCTGTGCCTGCCCTGGGAACTTCCGGTCGCGGCCGCCGAGCCTCCTGGGAAATGTAGTTTCCCGGACCCGATACGGAGCCTTAGAGCCCAGGGAAAGGGCACTTCCGGTTTCGACCCTAAGCACTTCCCGTCCCGGCCGCCGAGGCTCCTGGGAAATGTAGTTCCCGCCCGCCCTCAATCACGGCCGCGGTCATGGCTCCCGCGCTCCTGCTCCTCTTCGCGTTCGCGCTGCTCGGAGGCCTCGGCCGGGGCCAGGGTGAGCGGGGTCGGGGCGGGGTCAGGGGTCAGGGGTCGCGGCGGGGGTCACGGCGGGGTCGCGGCGGGGTTCGGGTTCCGCGCGTGGGGCCGCGGCGGGCGCCTAGGAGTCCGCGCCTCCGCCTCCCTCCCCTTCGCCGTCAATCCCCGGCCGCAGCTCCCGCCGCGGCGCGCGCGGGGAACGCTGGAAAATTTTTTGCCGCCGCCGCCGCCGAGGATTTTTTTTTTTCCGTTTTTGGGTTTTTTTTTGAAATTTTTTATTTTTTGGAATTTTTTTTTTTTTCTTTTTAAAAACTTTTGGGGCGCGGCTGCTCCCGGCATGCCGTGCGCCACGCCCACACCCCCGCCCCCCCACTCCAGGACCCACGTGACTCTGGCCCCGCCCCTCGCCCCTCCCACTCCGGACCGCGTTCTCGTGAAGTCAATCAACCAACCCCGAGGGGCGGCGATTCCCGGGGAGGGATGGGCGGGGTCACGTGACGGGGGCGGGGTCACGTGACGCGGGGCGGCGGGGGCGGGGTCACGTGACGCGGTGACTCAGGGCCGGGCGGGTGCGGCCCTGGGCGTCAGCGTGGGTGGAGGGGGAAAAAAAATGACTCACGGGTTGTGACATTTTTTAATTTTTAATATATTTTTTTAATTTTTAATTTTTTTTTAATTTTTAATTATTTTTTTCCTTCCAGATTTCGACCTCTCGGACGCGCTTGATGGTGAGTGGGGGGGGGGCGGGGCGGGGCCGAGGCTTCCAGCCAAAAAAAAAAAAAAAAAAAAACCGGGAAATTCCGGTCTTAAAAATTAATAAATAAATAATAAATAAATGAAAACAGATAAATAAATAAATGGAAAATTTCCATTTCAGGAAAAAAAAAGGAAAATGAAGGCATGAAATATTTGTGAGGCAAAAATGAAATTTTTTCGTTCGTCTATTTTTTTTTTGAACAAATCTTTTTTGATCAATTTTTTAATAAGTTTAATAAAATTTTTAATATTTAATATTAAATGAATTTAATAAAAAAATGTTCAAAAACATGAAGAAATGAAATTTTTTTTCAGGGGAGGAGGCAAAAGTGAAGTTTTTTCATTCACCTGTTTTTTTTGGAACAAATCTTTTTTAACAAATTTTTTGATAAGTTTAATAAAACTTTTAACATTTAATATTAACAAATAAATCTAATAAAATTTTTAATATTTAATATTAAATAAATCTAATAAATTTTTTAACATTTTTAATAAATAAATTTAATTTAATATTTAATAATCAATAGATTTAATAAAATTTTTAATATTTAATATTTAATGAATTTAATAAAATTTCCCTGATTTTTTCCCCCCCCAGAACCGAAGAAGCCGACGTCGCCGCCCAAGAAGCCTCCGCCGTCGGGTGAGGTCGTGGTGTGGGGAAACTGAGGCAGCAACTGGGGACCCCCCCCCCCCCCTGGGCTCGCCCCGCCCCCTCCCTTCACTTCCGGTTTGCCAAGGCTAGCCCAACCCTCCCCTCCCTCCCCCCCCACAGGCGGAGACCTGGACCTGAGCGACGCCCTGGGAGGCGGAGATGGTGAGGGGCGGCCCTGGGGGACCCCGGGGTGCTGGGTGCTGGGTGATCCGGGTGCTGTGTGCTGGGTGATCCAGTGCTGGGTGATCCGGGTGCTGGGTGATCCAGGTGCTGAGTGCTGAGTCCTGGGTGATCCAGGTGCTGGGTGATTCGTGTGCTGGGTGCAGGGTGCTGGGTGATCTGGGTGCTGGGTGATCTGGGTGCTGAGTGCTGGGTGATCCGGGTGCTGAGTGCTGGGTGATCCGGGTGCTGAGTGCTGAGTCCTTGGTGCTGGGTGATCTGGGTGCTGGGTGATCTGGGTGCTGGGTGATCCGGGTGCTGGGTGCTGGGTGATCCGGGTACTGAGTGCTGAGTCCTTGGGGCTGGGTGATCCGGGTGCTGGGTCCTGAGTCCTTGGTGCTGGGTGATCCGGGTGCTGAGTCCCGGGTGCTGGGTGATCCGGGTGCTGAGTCCTGGGTGATCTGGGTGCTGGGTGCTGAGTCCTGGGTACTGGGTGCTGGGTGCTGAGTCCTGGGTGCAGGGTGCTGAGTCCCGGGTGCTGGGTGCTGAGTGCTGGGTGCTGAGTCCGGGGTGCTGGTTCTGAGTCCCGGGTGCTGGGTGCTGAGTCCTGGGTGCTGGGTGATCCGGGTGCTGAGTCCCGGGTACTGGATGCTGAGTCCTGGGTGCTGGGTGCTGAGTCCTGGGTGATCCGGGTGCTCGGTGCTGAGTGCTGGGTGCTGAGTCCTGGGTGCTGGGTGCTGAGTCCTGGGTGATCCGGGTGCTCGGTGCTGAGTGCTGGGTGCTGAGTCCTGGGTGCTGGGTGATCCGGGTGCTGAGTCCCCCGGGTGCTGGGTGCTGAGTCCTGGGTGCTGAGTTCTGGGTGCTTGGTGCTGAGTCCCGGGTGCTGGGTGCTGTGTGCTGGGTGCTGAGTCCTGGGTGCTGGGTGCTGAGTCCCGGGTGCTGGGTGCTAAGTCCTGGGTGCTGAGTCCCGGGTGCTGGGTGCTGAGTCCTGGGTGCTGGGTGCTGAGTCCTGGGTGCTGGGTGCTGAGTCCTGGGTGCTGAGTCCCGGGTGCTGGGTGCTGGGTCCTGGGTGCTGAGTCCTGGGTGCTGGGTGCTGAGTCCTGGGTGCTGAGTCCCGGGTGCTGGGTGCTGAGTCCTGGGAACTGAGTCCTGGGTGCTGAGTCCTGGGTGCTGGGTGCTGAGTCCCGGGTGCTGGGTGCTGAGTCCTGGGTGCTGAGTCCCGGGTGCTGGGTGCTGGGTCCTGGGTGCTGGGTGATTCGTGTGCTGGGTGCTGAGTCCTGGGTGCTGAGTCCTGGGTGCTGAGTGCTGATTGCTGAGTCCTGGGTGCTGGGTGCTGAGTCCCGGGTGCTGAGTGCTAAGTCCTGGGTGCTGGGTGCTGAGTCCTGGGTGCTGAGTCCCGGGTGCTGATTGCTGAGTCCTGGGTGCTGGGTGATCTGGGTACTGGGTGCTGAGTCCTGGGTGCTGGGTGCTGAGTCCCGGGTGCTGAGTGCTAAGTCCTGGGTGCTGGGTGGTGAGTGCTGGGTGCTGAGTCCTGGGTGCTGGGTGCCGAGTCCCGGGTGCTGGGTGCTGAGTCCTGGGTACTGGGTGCTGAGTCCTGGGTGCTGGGTGCTGAGTGCTAAGTCCTGGGTGCTGGGTGCTGAGTCCTGGGTGCTGAGTCCTGGGTGCTGAGTCCTGGGTGCTGGGTACTGGGTGCTGAGTCCTGGGTGCTGGGTGCTGAGTCCTGGGTGCTGAGTCCTGGGTGCTGGGTGCTGAGTCCCGGGTGCTGGGTGCTGAGTCCCGGGTGCTGGGTGCTGGGTGCTGAGTCCTGGGTGCTGGGTGCTGAGTCCTTGGTGCTGGGTGCTGAGTCCTGGGTGCTGGGTGCTGAGTCCTGGGTGCTGGGTGCTGAGTCCTGGGTGCTGAGTCCTTGGTGCTGGGTGCTGAGTCCTGGGTGCTGAGTCCTGGGTGCTGGGTGCTGAGTCCTGGGTGCTGGGTGATCCGGGTGCTGGGTGATCTGGGTGCTGGGTGCTAAGTCCTGGGTGCTGGGTGCTGAGTCCCGGGTGCTGAGTCCATGGTGCCGGGTGCTGGGTGCTGAGTCCTGGGTGCTGGGTGCTGAGTCCTTGGTGCTGGGTGCTGAGTCCTGGGTGCTGGGTGCTGAGTCCTGGGTGCTGAGTCCTGGGTGCTGAGTCCTGGGTGCTGGGTGCTGAGTCCGGGGTGCTGGGTGCTGAGTGATGCGGGTGCTGAGTGCTGGGTCTTGGGTGCTAGGTGCTGAGTCCTGGGTGGTCCTGGGTGCTGGGTGCTGAGTCCTGGGTGCTGAGTCCTGGGTGGTCCTGAGTCCTGGGTGCTGGGTGCTGAGTCCTGGGTGCTGGGTGCTGAGTCCTGGGTGCTGAGTCCTGGGTGCTGGGTGCTGAGTCCTGGGTGCTGGGTGCTGAGTCCTGGGTGCTGGGTGCTGCGTCCCGGGTGCTGAGTGCTAAGTCCTGGGTGCTGGGTGCTGAGTCCTGGGTGCTGAGTCCTGGGTGCTGAGTCCCGGGTGCTGGGTGCTGGGTCCTGGGTGCTGGGTGATTCGTGTGCTGGGTGCTGGGTGCTGAGTCCTGGGTGCTGAGTGCTGAGTGCTGATTGCTGAGTCCTGGGTGCTGGGTGCTGAGTCCCGGGTGCTGAGTGCTAAGTCCTGGGTGCTGGGTGCTGAGTCCTGGGTGCTGAGTCCTGGGTGCTGAGTCCCGGGTGCTGATTGCTGAGTCCTGGGTGCTGGGTGATCTGGGTACTGGGTGCTGAGTCCTGGGTGCTGGGTGCTGAGTCCCGGGTGCTGAGTGCTAAGTCCTGGGTGCTGGGTGGTGAGTGCTGGGTGCTGAGTCCTGGGTGCTGGGTGCTGAGTCCTGGGTGCTGAGTCCTGGGTACTGGGTGCTGAGTCCTGGGTGCTGGGTGCTGAGTCCTGGGTGCTGGGTGCTGAGTCCCGGGTGCTGGGTGCTGAGTCCCGGGTGCTGGGTGCTGGGTGCTGAGTCCTGGGTGCTGGGTGCTGAGTCCTGGGTGCTGGGTGCTGAGTCCTTGGTGCTGGGTGCTGAGTCCTGGGTGCTGAGTCCTGGGTGCTGGGTGCTGAGTCCTGGGTGCTGGGTGCTGAGTCCTGGGTGCTGGGTGATCCGGGTGCTGGGTGATCTGGGTGCTGGGTGCTAAGTCCTGGGTGCTGAGTCCTGGGTGCTGAGTCCCGGGTGCTGAGTCCATGGTGCTGGGTGCTGGGTGCTGAGTCCTGGGTGCTGGGTGCTGAGTCCTGGGTGCTGGGTGCTGAGTCCTGGGTGCTGAGTCCTGGGTGCTGGGTGCTGAGTCCGGGGTGCTGGGTGCTGAGTGATGCGGGTGCTGAGTGCTGGGTCTTGGGTGCTAGGTGCTGAGTCCTGGGTGGTCCTGGGTGCTGGGTGCTGAGTCCTGGGTGCTGAGTCCTGGGTGGTCCTGAGTCCTGGGTGCTGGGTGCTGAGTCCTGGGTGCTGGGTGCTGAGTCCTGGGTGCTGAGTCCTGGGTGCTGAGTCCTGGGTGCTGAGTCCTGGGTGCTGAGTCCTGGGTGCTGGGTGCTGAGTCCTGGGTGCTGAGTCCTGGGTGCTGGGTGCTGAGTGCTAAGTCCTGGGTGCTGTGTGGTGAGTGCTGGGTGCTGAGTCCTGGGTGCTGAGTCCTGGGTACTGGGTGCTGAGTCCTGGGTGCTGGGTGCTGAGTCCTGGGTGCTGAGTCCTGGGTGCTGGGTGCTGAGTCCTGGGTACTGGGTGCTGAGTCCTGGGTGCTGGGTGCTGAGTGCTAAGTCCTGGGTGCTGGGTGCTGAGTCCTGGGTGCTGAGTCCCGGGTGCTGGGTGCTGGGTGCTGAGTCCTGGGTGCTGGGTGCTGAGTCCTGGGTGCTGGGTGCTGAGTCCTGGGTGCTGGGTGCTGAGTCCTGGGTGCTGGGTGCTGAGTCCTGGGTGCTGGGTGCTGAGTCCTGGGTGCTGGGTGCTGAGTCCGGGGTGCTGGGTGCTGAGTGATGCGGGTGCTGAGTGCTGGGTCTTGGGTGCTAGGTGCTGAGTCCTGGGTGGTCCTGGGTGCTGGGTGCTGAGTCCTGGGTGCTGAGTCCTGGGTGGTCCTGAGTCCTGGGTGCTGGGTGCTGAGTCCTGGGTGCTGGGTGCTGAGTCCTGGGTGCTGAGTCCTGGGTGCTGAGTCCTGGGTGCTGGGTGCTGAGTCCTGGGTGCTGAGTCCTGGGTGCTGGGTGCTGAGTCCTGGGTGCTGGGTGCTGAGTCCTGGGTGCTGGGTGATCCGGGTGCTGGGTGATCTGGGTGCTGGGTGCTAAGTCCTGGGTGCTGAGTCCTGGGTGCTGAGTCCCGGGTGCTGAGTCCATGGTGCTGGGTGCTGAGTCCTGGGTGCTGGGTGCTGAGTCCTTGGTGCTGGGTGCTGAGTCCTGGGTGCTGGGTGCTGAGTCCTGGGTGCTGAGTCCTGGGTGCTGGGTGCTGAGTCCGGGGTGCTGGGTGCTGAGTGATGCGGGTGCTGAGTGCTGGGTCTTGGGTGCTAGGTGCTGAGTCCTGGGTGGTCCTGGGTGCTGGGTGCTGAGTCCTGGGTGGTCCTGAGTCCTGGGTGCTGGGTGCTGAGTCCCGGGTGCTGGGTGCTGAGTCCTGGGTGCTGAGTCCTTGGTGCTGGGTGCTGAGTGCTGGGTGCTGAGTCCTGTGTGCTGGGTGCTGAGTGCCGGGTGCTGGGTGCTGAGTCCTGGGTGCTGGGTGCTGAGTCCTGGGTGCTGAGTCCTTGGTGCTGAGTCCTGGGTGCTGGGTGCTGAGTGCTGAGTGATCTGGGTGCTGGGTGCTGAGTCCTGGGTGCTGGGTGCTGAGTGATCTGGGTGCTGGGTGCTGAGTCCTGGCTGCTCCGGGTGCTGGGTGCTGAGTCCTGGGTGCTGGGTGCTGGGTGATCCGGGTGCTGGGTGCTGAGTCCTGGGTGCTGAGTCCTGGGTGCTGGGTGCTGAGTCTGCTGGGTGCTGAGTGCCGAGTCCCGGGTGCTGGGTGCTGAGTCCTGGGTGCTGGGTGCTGAGTCCTCCCCGGGTGCTGGGTGCTGAGTTCTCCCCGGGTGCTGGGTGCTGAGTCCTGGGTGCTGGGTGCTGAGTCCTGGGTGCTGGGTGCTGAGTCCTCCCCGGGTGCTGGGTGCTGAGTGCTGGGCGCTGAGTCCTCCCCGGGTGCTGGGTGCTGAGTCCTCCCGGGTGCTGGGGCCGCAGGGGCGGGCGTGGGGAGACCCCGTGCGGCCCGGGGCATCATGGGAAATCTCCGCCCCCTCCCCCCGCAGACCCCGCCCCCCCGCCGCCCAGGCCGAAGCCGAAACCGGATCGCGAGTCCCGGCCCTCGGGAGGTAAGGAGGGGGCGGGGCCATGCAGGTGTATGCTAATGAGGGGGCGGGACCTCACGGGATTATGCTAATGTGGGGCGGGGCTCCACATGCTAACCAGGCATGGCGTATGCCAAAGTCATGCGGGTTTATGCTAATGAGGGGCGGGGCAAAAGCAGGTCTATGCTAACGAGGGGCGGGGTCGTGCAGATTTATGCTAATGAGGGGGTGGGGCTCCACATGCTAATTAGGCGTGGAGCATGCAGAAGCCATGCTTGTTCATGCTAATGAGAGGGTGGGGCAGAGCAGGTTTATGCTAATGAGGGGACAGGGCCATGCAGACTTATGCTAATGAGGGGGCGGGGCTCCACATGCTAATTAGGCGCTGAGCATGCAGAAGACATGCTTGTTTATGCTAATGAGAGGGCGGGGCAGAGCAGGTCTATGCTAATGAGTGGCGGGGCGGCACAGATTTATGCTAATGAGGGGATATTCTGATTTATGCCAATGAGGGGCGGCGCCACGCGGGTTTATGCTAACGAGGGGGCGAGGCTCCACGTGCTAATTAGGTTGGCGTGTGCTGAAGTCCTTTGAGAGGCCAGTCAATGAGATGGTGATTTATGCTAATGAGGTGGGCGTGTTAGGGGCTAACGCCGGCGTATGCTAATCAGGTCCCGCGCATGCTAATGAGCTCCTCCCCACGTGCCGCTGAGATGCTAATTTATGCTAACGACCTCGAACCCCTCGGGCTTTGCAGGGCGGTATGCAAATGTTTGCTAACGACCGGGTATGTAAATGCATGCTAATGAGGAGGCCGCGCTGGCGTGTGCTAGGTGAGTGTGGCTTATGCAAATCAGCCCCATTTGCATGGCTCGCCACTATGCAAATCCATGCAAATGAGCCCGGGGAGACACACGATCCGCTTATGTAAATATATGCTAATCGAACTGCCGGTAATTTATGCAGATGCATGCTAATGACCAGTTACTAATGAGCCTCCTGCCACGCAAATCCACGCTAATTTATGCGAATCAGGCCATTTCCTCGGCTCCGCATGCTAATTTTATGCTAATTTATGCGAATCAGGCCATTTCCTTGGCTCCGTATGCTGATCCATGCTGATTTTATGCAAATCCATGCTAATTTTGTGCAAATCCGTCCCCTCCCAGGCGACTTCTCCAACAGGGACCTGGAAGAAGCCGCAGGGGGCAAAGGTGAGGCCACGCCCACTGTGATGTCATAGCCCCGCCCACCTGCGATGTCGCAGCCCTGGTGATGTCATAGCCCTGCCCACCTGTGATGTCACTGCCCCGGTGATGTCATAGCCACACCCACCCGTGATGTCATGGCCACGCCCGCTGTGATGTCATAGCCCCGCCTACCTGTGATGACATCATCCCCGCGCAGGCCCCACCCACGGTGACGTTGTCGTTTCTCCTACCCAGGTGGAGGCCGAGGACCCCAAGGGGAGGAGGAGCCTGAGGCGGACGGTGAGGACTCAGCGCAGCACCAGGGGGGGGGGGGGGGGGAGGACTCAGTGCAGCACGGGGGGGGGGGGGGGGGGGGGGGGGGAGGACTCAGCACAGCACCTGGGGGAGAGGGGAGGACTCAGCGCAGCACCCGGGGGAGAGGGGAGGACTCAGGGCAGCACCTGGGAGTACCGAGCACAGCACCCAGGGGGAAAAGAGGACTCGGTGCAGCACCCAGTGAAGGGAAAGACTCAGCACAGCACCCGGGAGTACCGAGCACAGCACCCGCCCCCCCACCCCGCAGGCTCCGCCCCCCAGGGCCTGGTCCCCGGCCTCATTGGGGCCGCGGTGGCCGCGGTCGCCGGCGCCATCTCGAGCTTCGTAGCCTACCAGAGGCGGAGGCTGTGCTTCCGGGAGCACGGTGAGGATGGGGGCGGGGCCTAGGGGAGGGGGCGGGGCCAGGGGTGAGGGGCGGAGCCTAGGGGGGTGAGGGGCGGGGCCTGCGCTGGGGCGGAGCCAGGGAGGGGGCGGGGCCAGGCGTGAGGGGCGGGGCCTCGGAGAGCGTGAGGGGCGGGGTTTCCAGGCCTAAGAGGGGGCGTGGCCTATGGGGCAAGGGGGCGGGGCTTCCTCTGATGACGGACGCGCCCCTTCCCGCCCCGCCCCCTCCCCGCAGGCTCCGCCCCCGTCTAGGGCCCCGCCCCCCTGCCGCAATGATGTCATTGCCAATCCAGTGCTGAGCAACCGAACTCCTAAGCAGCTGCCAAAGCCCCGCCCACGCCCGGCCCCGCCTCCCCTGCGTCATTTGCATATCGTTTGCATCTATGCAAATCACCGCCGATCCCCCCCCCCCAGGAGCGAGGAGGCGGGGAGGAGGTGGGGAATTATTTTTTTTTTTTAGATTTCCAAATTTTTTTAATTTTTTTTTATTGCCGACTTTTATTTTGGCGGGGGGGTTGGGGAGGGGGGAAAACTCACTTTTTTTGTGGTTTTTATCTTATTATTATTTTATTTTTTTTTCATTCATTTCCTGTCTTTTTTTATTTCCCGCCTCCCCCTCCCCCCCAAAAAAAAAGAAAATCAAGAGAGAAATAAAATAAAATTAATTTTTTTATATAAAATTTTTTTAATCAAAATCCGAAAATTTCCCGATTTTTTTTTTTATTCTTTTTTTTTTTTCCGGGCTTCACCGTTGTTGTCCGTGAGCCCAGGCTGGACCCTCGGGGCCCCGGTGACGTCGTGACCCCCGCGTGACCTCTGCGTGACCCCCGCCGCCGCCGTCGTAATAAAGGCTTTGCCCCCCCCAGCCCTAGGTGTCCGCCTGTCAATCCATCGCGGGGTGGGCGGGGCTGGGCGGGGCCCGGTGACGTCACGGGCGACGGGGGCGGGTGGCGGTCATCCCCCTGCAGTAGCTCCTCCGGGCGGAGAGAAAAAATAAAATGGAAAAAAATTTCAAACCAGTCATCCCCCTGCGGTAGCTCCGAGCTGAGAGAGGAAAAAAAAGTTTCAAACCGGTCATCCCCCTGCGGTAGCTCTAGGCGGAGAGAGGAAAAAAAAAATTAAGTTTCAACACGGTCATCCCCCTGCCGCAGAAAATAAAATTTATAACTTTCAAAATAGGCATCCCCCTGCAGTAGCTCCGAGCTGGGGAAAAAAAAATGGAAAAAAATTTCAAACCGGTCATCCCCCTGCCGCAGCTCCGAGCTGAGAGAGAGAAAAAAATTTAAAGTTCAGCACGGTCATCCCCCTGCAGTAGCTCCGCGCGGAGAGAGAAAAAAAAGTTTAAGTTTCAACACGGGCATTCCCCTGCCGCAGAAAATAAAATTTATAACTTTCAAAACAGGCATCCCCCTGCAGCAGCTCCGAGCTGGGAAAAAAAAATGGTAAATTTCAAACCGGGCATCCCCCTGCAGTAGCTCCGATCTGAGAGAGAGAAAAAATTTTTAAGTTTCAACACGGTCATCCCCCTGCCGCAGCTCTGAGCTGAAAAAAAAAATTTAAGTTTCAAACCGGTCATCCCCCTGCGGTAGCTCCGAGCAGAAAAAAAACAAGCAATTTTCAATTTGAAGACAGTCATCCCCATGCCGCAGAAAATAAAAATTTAATTTTCAAAACAGTCATCCCCCTGCAGCAGAAAATAAAGAGAAAAATCCTCACTTCCAAAACGGGCATCCCCCTGCCGCAGAAAATAAAAATAAAATTCTAACTTCCAAAACGGGCATCCCCCTGCTGCAGAAAAAATAAAAATAAAAAAATTCTCACTTCCAAACCGGGCATCTCCCTGCAGTAGTTCCGGGCGGAGAGAGAAAAAAAAGTTTCAAACCGGTCATCCCCCTGCGGTAGCTCCGCGCGGAGAGAGAAAAAAAAATTTAAGTTTCAACACGGTCATCCCCCTGCCGCAGAAAATAAAAATTTTTTAACTTCCAAAACAGTCATCCCCCTGCCGCAGCTCTGTGCCAAAAAAAAAAATTAAGTTTCAAACCGGTCATCCCCCTGCAGTAGCTCCGAGCTGAGAGAGAGAAAAAAATTTAAAGTTCAGCACGGTCATTCCCCTGCAGTAGCTCCGGGCGCAGAAAAAAATATAATAATAAAATGGTAAATTTCAAACCGGTCACCCCCTGCGGCAGAAAAAAAAAATTTTAAAGTTCATCACGGTCATCCCCCTGTCGCAGCTCTGAGCAGAAAAAAAAAATTTAAGTTTCAAACCGGTCATCCCCCTGCGGTAGCTCCGAGCTGGCGGGGGGGGGGGATTCTAACTTCCAAAAGAGTCATCCCCCTGCCGCAGCTCCGTGCTGGGGCAAAACAATAAAAATTTAATTTCCAAAACGGGCATCCCCCTGCCGCAGCTCCGAGCTGGAAAAATAAAAATAAAATTTAATTTTCAAAACAGTCATCCCCCTGCCGCAGAAAATAAAAATCCAACTTCCAAACCGGGCATCCCCCTGCCGCACGCCGCTCCGGGCCGGCCGGGAAGCCCCGCCCCCGGCTGACGACGTCACGGCTGACGTCACGGCGGGAACCGGTCCGACCGGGAGAACCGAGTCCCCAGCACCGCCGCCCGCGGAAAAAGTCCCCGGATGCTGGAAGAAAATCCCCGGATGCTGCGGCCGCCGCTGCCTCAGTTTCCCGATGGCGACGACGATGGCGACGCCGCTGCTGCTGCTCCTGGCGCTGCCGTTGCTGCCGCTGCTGCGCGTGCGCGGTGAGGGGGGGCGCGGTGACGTCACCGGGGCGGGGCCTGGGCCGGGAGGGAGGGGGGCGGGGCCGGAACAAAAAAAACGGCAAAAAACCGGAAAAATCCGGAAAAAAATCGGGATTTTTTTATTATTTTTTTATTTTTTTATGGGGCGCGGGGCATGCTGGGAAGTCTCGCGGGGTTTCCGGAATTCCCGCGCGAGAGGAAACCAAAAAAAAACCCCGAAAATGTGGGATTTAAATCCGATTTTCTGAGTTTTTCCAAACTAAAAGTCACGGGGTTTTCACATCCGGGCTTTTTTTTAATTGAAAAAAAAAAAAAACATCCGGGGTCTTTTTCTCTCGGCGCCCATCCGGGGTCTTTTTCTCTCGGCGCCCATCCGGGTCTTTTTCTCTCGGCGCCATCCGGGTTTTTTTTTTTTTTTTTAATTAAAAAATAAAACCAAAATATCCGGGTTTTTCCCAAAATATCCGGGTTTTTTCCCCAAACATCCGGGTTTTTCCCCAAAGCATCCGGGGTTTTTTTTCCCTTCGGTTCGGTTCGGGCGGGGCGGGGAGCGGGGGAAAAGAAATTAATTATCAGAGATCGAATCAATTAAAATTAATTAATTTAAATTTAATTAATTCATTCAACACCGCGAGATTTTTTGGCGCAGAAAAAATTCCGCCGAGCACCGGCGGGATCCGGTCTGGTCCGGTCTGATCCGGTTCGGGCCCGGGTCCGGGGCGTCCGGGGTCCGGAGAGAGAGAGAAAAAAAAAATGATTAAAAATTATTAAAATAAAAATAAAAATTTATCCTTTCAAAACAGTCATCCCCCTGCCGAAGAAAATAAAAATAAAATTCTTTTTTTTTAATCGGAAATTTAATCAAAAAAAAATAAAAATTAAAGAAATAAAAGTCGGGGCTTTTATTCTGAAGGGGCGGCCAGGGCCGGGGCGCGGGAGTCGCGGGGCGCGGCGGGAACCGGCGGATCCGGTTTCGGGGCGTGGGGGAAACTGAGTCACGGGCGGGCGGGGCGGGCGGAGTGCGGGGGGGGGGGGGGGGGGGGGCTGGGTGCTGGGTGCTGAGTCCTCCCGGGTGCTGGGTGCTGAGTCCCCCGGGTGCTGGGTGCTGGGTGCTGAGTCCCCCGGGGCGGGCGGGGGTGCTGGGTGCTGAGTCCTCCCTGGGTGCTGGGGGCGGAGTTCCCCTGGGTGCTGGGTGCTGAGTCCCCCGGGTGCTGAGTCCTCCCTGGGTGCTGGGTGCTAGGTGCTGAGTCCCCCTGGGTGCTGGGTGCTGAGTCCCCCGGGTGCTGAGTCCTCCCTGGGTGCTGGGTGCTGAGTCTCCCGGGTGCTGGGTGCTGGGTGCTGAGTCCCCCGGGTGCTGAGTCCTCCCTGGGTGCTGGGTGCTGAGTCTCCCGGGTGCTGGGTGCTGAGTCCCCCGGGTGCTGGGTGCTGAGTCCCCCGGGTGCTGGGTGCTGAGTCCCCCTCTGACCCCTGACCCCCCACGCAGGTGACGACGGCGGCGACTTCGACCTCGCGGACGCCTTGGACCCCGGTGAGTGCTGGGTGCTGAGTACTCCGTGATTAGTGCTCAGGGTGCTCGGTGCTGGGTGCTCGGTGCTCAGTGCTCGGGGTGCTTGGTGCTCGGTGCTGGGTGCTGGGTGCTGAGTCCTCTTCTCTTCCAGACCCAACTTCGAAGCCCAGCGGGGGTGAGTGACGCCGTCAGGGGACCCGGGGGGTGGGGTGGGGTGCTGGATGCTTAGTACCCCTGCCCCGTGGGTGCTGCGCTGAGTCCCCCCACCCCGTGGGTGCTGCGCTGAGTCTTCCCATCCTGTGGGTGCTGAATGCTTAGTACCTCCGCCCCGTGGGTGCTGGATGCTCAGTCCTCCCCGTGGGTGCTGCGCTGAGTCCCCCTGCCCCGTGGGTGCTGTGCTGAGTCTTCCCACCCCGTGGGTGCTGCGCTGAGTTTTCCCGCCCCGTGGGTGCTGAATGCTCAGTCCCCCCGCCCCGTGGGTGCTGGATGCTCAGTCCCCCCGCCCCGTGGGTGCTGCGCTGAGTCCTCCTTCCCCAGGCCTCTACCCGAAGCTCCCGGCCGACCCGCTGCCCTCGGACCCACACGGCGGAGGTAAAGTCATGGGTGCTGCGCTGAGTCCTCCTTTCCCCCAGGTGCTGTGCTGAGTCCTCCTTTCCCCCAGGTGCTGTGCTGAGTCCTCCCTTCCCCCGGGTGCTTCACTAAGTCCCTCCAGGCGGGTGCTGCGCTGAGTCCTCCCTTCCCCCAGGTGCTGTGCTGAGTCCTCCCTTCCCCCGGGTGTTTCACTAAGTCCCTCCAGGCGGGTGCTGCGCTGAGTCCTCCCTTCCCCCCGGGTGCTTCACTAAGTCCTTCCAGGTGGTGTGCTCCTTTCTCCTGCCCCGTGGGTGCTGCGCTGAGTCCTCCTCAGGTGACCTCCTGGGTCCCCTGGGTGCTGTGCTGAGTCCTCCCCCTCTCAGGGGTGCTGTGCTGAGTCCTCCAGATGCGGTGCTCAGTTCTCCCCCCCGGGTGCTGCGCTGAGTCCTCCCAGGTGCTTCACTGACTTCTCCCCCCGGGTGCTGCGCTGAGTCTTCCCCCGGGTGCTGCGCTTAGTCCTCCCCGGGGATGGGTGGTGTGTGGTGAGTCCTCCCCGAGTGCTATGCTAAGTCGCCTCGCCCCGTGGGTGCTGTGCTCAGTCCCCCGGCCCCGTGGGTGCTGCGCTGAGTCTTCCCATCCTGTGGGTGCTGAATGCTCAGTCCCCCTCGGGTGCTGTGCTTAGTTTTCTTGCCCCATGGGTGCTGCGCTGAGTTTTCCCATCCCGTGGGTGCTGGATGCTCAGTCCCCCCGCCCCGTGGGTGCTGCGCTGAGTCCTCCTTCCCCAGGCCTCTACCCGAAGCTCCCGGCCGACCCGCTGCCCTCGGACCCACACGGCGGAGGTAAAGTCATGGGTGCTGCGCTGAGTCCTCCTTTCCCCCAGGTGCTGGACTGAGTCCTCCCAGGTGCTGCGCTGAGTCCTCCCAGGTGCTGGACTGAGTCTTCCTGACTCGTGGGTGCTGCGCTGAGTCCTCTTCGGTGATGGGTGCTGCGCTGAGTCCTCCCCGGGTGCTGCGCTGAGTCCTCTTTGGTGACGGGTGCTGCGCTGAGTCCTCCCCGGGTGCTGGGTGCTGAGTCCCCCCGGGTGCTGGGAGCTGAGTCCTCCCCGGGTGCTGCGCTGAGTC